CAGTATCATTAATAAGGGCAAATCTGTTATTCCACCTCTCTTGTATGGTTCAGATTTTGTCACCTCACCTAAAGACAAAGCTAAATTGTTTGCTAAGAATTTTCATCAATATCATCTTTTGATTCCACTAGTTGCGTTCTATTTGATATAGCCGACAAACAGGTTGATCCATTGCTTAACATTTGTATCACTCCAGCTTCTGTATCTTCTTTATTTCTGTATAAAGTGATTTCCTGCTTAGACTCTTCTATAGCTTGTGGTCCGGACAATATACCTGTTATAGTCTTGCAAAAGTGTTCTCCGGAGCTGTTGTCTATACTTTCAAAACTATTTAAAAGCTGCTTATCGGAGTCTTGTTTTCCGGCATGCTGGAAAGCAGCATCTGTTATTCCTATTTTCAAAAATTCTGAAGATCGATCTGACTTGTCTAACTACTGTCCCATTAGTCTTGTTCCTATCATAAGCAACGCTTTTGAATCTTTAATAAACAAACATTTAATCTCTCATATTGAATCTAATGACTTACATTCTGATCATCTATATGGATTTCGATCTTTTTGTTCTACAGCTGATTTGCTAACAGTAATAACTGATAGGTTTTATCGTGCATTAAATAGATGTGGAGTGGTTAAGGCTATTATTCTTGACATTTCTAAAGCTTTTGATAAAGTTTAGTATGCTGGTCTTCTACATAAGCTTTCTTCTTACGGTGTATCAGGTAACATCTTTAAGATTATTGAATCCTTCCTTTTCAATTGTAGTATAAAAGTTGTCTTCGATGGACAGCACTCTTCTTCATATTCTGTAACTTCAGGGGTTCCTCAAGGTTCTACCCTTGGCCCTATTCTCTATTTAATTTGCATTAACAATCTCTCAGAAAATCTCACATCTTAGGTGGCATTGTTCGCTGGCAAAACTACCATTTTTTCTTGGCTTGCTAAGAAGCCAACACTCTCTGATTGCTTTGGATCTCACTTCTGTTACAGTATGATGCTCTCAGTGGCATTGATTGATATCTTGCTTTATAGATTTCATCTTTTCTCTTGCTATCTTTATAAACTTCATCTTTTCTCTTCCAGTAACTTCCAACTCTAAGAATGGTTGCTTGCAGCCTTGTTGGAAGTGAACATGTTTTTTTTTTAAATTGGTCTTTTGGAATATTATCACTACTACAAAGAAATGGTGCAAAAAATATGCTAGGAAATGTTAAAATTTTAAAATTTTATGAGCATGAGTTATTTTGCAAAACTTGTCCAAGTAAAATAGTGTCTGTCCGCATTGGTGCTAAAAAGTGCAGAAAAAATTACCACTAGTTACTTTAAGAGATTAATAGTTTGCAGAGTATAAGAAAGTAAATAAAATTGAAGTTGGGTTTTCTAAATTTTGTCAGTTACGTCAAAAATAGTGTTTAACAGTTAGTTATGCAGGCACCCATCATACTTGTGTATGCACTATTCACCAGAACATAAAGTTTATGCTTGCAAATATCCAAGTTATCGTGGACTATCGCTTCATTTAAAAAATAGTTTGTAATATTGAATCTAGAGAATGTATGCTTCAACATTGTGATAAATGTCCAGGGACTGAAATGTTAAAGATTTTTATTAAAGAGCATTTTAAAGACTTTAAATCAATGAAACTGTAACTTTTAAGCAATGGATAAAAACAGATAATGAAACTCTTGAATCCTTATAATTACCAGTAGGGGACTTCATAGATGATAGTTTCAAAAGTATTAGTTTTATCTCAACATTATTTTATTGCCAAAAACCAAAGCAACTATTTGCGGCCATTAAAAAATGAACATAATTCAAACAAGTTGATAGTTTAGATGGATTTTTCTGAAAATTATACCTTTGCTGTGTAAGATGCTGTTCAGGGATTTTACATAGGAAAACAGCCCAGCAATCTTGGATCCTTTTGTTTTTTTATTACGAACTGAATGACATATTTCAATATAAATGTTGTTGTGTTTTCAGTGATTGCATGCATCATGATACAATTTCTGTTCATGTGTTTCTCAGTAAACTGTTAGTTAAACTTAAAATTTGTTTGTCTATTGAACTTATTCATTATTTCAGTGATGGTTCAGCTGCACAGTACAAAAACTTCAAAAGTTTTATGAATTAATGTTACCATTATATTGACTATAGCATGCATGCAGGGTGGAATTTCTTTACAACTAGTCATGTGTAAAATCTGGAAGCACAGTTGCAGGTACCTGTAACAATCACAAATTTATACTTGTAAATAAAAATCAAGTTTGTGTCACTTTTATTTCAAATGAAAATACATCTTTTGTTGCAAACTTTAATGATAATTACAATAATATAATAACTAAACTAAATTAGTTTTACTCTCTCATCCAAGTCCTGGATATTTTTTACATGTATTAATGAAGCACAATGGTAAATTGGTAACGTTCACAGGAGTATGTTTTCATTTTATGCATCCTCATGGTATAGTTCAGTCATTTAACCTGGCCTAGCAGTGTGGGTGCTTGTTAAGTTCTTCTATATTAAATCTTGCACTAGATCTTGGAGTTTAGCAGAAAATTGTTAAAAAGATGTAAAAACTGACCTGATTTTTTAATTTATAGAACAAATATCTCCAAAATAAATTTTACTGTTTCTTTAAGTGTGAAATAAGCACTTTCCAATGGTGCAATTAAAAAATTATAAAAAATCTGCCTATATTGAGTTTTAGAGGTTCAAATACATATCATTTTAAGGTTTTTCACTTTTGGCGCTAATTTCATTTAAGAATAATTTATCATAGACATTTATAAAAGAGCTAATTTTTGCTCCATTTCATTATAATGGTATTTAGAACATTCGGAACAAAATAACAATACCAAAAAATTATTTTAACTTTTAAGATATGACCCTACAAAGAACCGAAAAATATTAAAAAAAGAGTATGTAGACACGATATATAACTTGTACTCAGTAAAATATTCAGTACAAGTAATCTGCACCTTCAGTTTACTCAGAACCTTTTTAAGATGTTTTAGCATTTTATTACGAAAATATGAGCCTAATTTTAGCAACATGCTAAAATTAGGCTAATTTAATATTACATAATGCGTTAAAAGCCATTATTATATCGAGCAAAACACTTTCAGCGATCATTGTCAAGTAAAAGAAGATTAGCAATTTTAAAGTCTAAATTAAGAATGGAATTAAAGATGATTACTTCAGAGATGATTAATTTGGTGCCCTACAGAAAATACATATTTGTGTTGGTCAAGATTGTCGTAGGTGGAAAACTAAAATAAACGACTGTTTTCATAATCACAAATTTAAATATATATATATATATATATATATATATATATATATATATATATATATATATATATATATTTAACATATTTGCGTTTAGGACTTTAAACAAAAACATAGTAATAGATTTTAATGTTTTATATAATCAAAAAAAATATTTATAAATCCTTGAATAATAGTAACTAATTCGTTTGTTCTCTTAAACCAATTGATGATTTTCTTAGTAATTTATTTAAGTCTCTAATAATATATTTCTAGGCTTATTTAAACACCAGAATTCTGAAATAATATTCACTTATCTTTCTATCAAACTTGCTTCATTTATTTTCAATATGAATTATTTTGTGGCAATGAAATTTAATGTTTCCTTGAAAGTTTATTATGTTTAAAGTTTATACAAGTTTTAAACCTTCAAACTCAAACTAAACAAAAAGTTTAAAATAAATCCATTAAATACAATGCTCATGGCATGGATCTTGGAAAATGTGTAGCAATTGGTTGTCACATGATGCAGTATTAACTATCTATTTAACATCTTCGCCAAACTGACATCAAAAAGGAACAAATGTACAACTTTTGATACAAAGTTATTTCAAAGTCAAATTCAAAATGTTTCCAATGAAGCATATCAAATCACTTTTTTTTAATTTATTTAATTAAGAGTTTCCAATGAGATGCAAAACAACTAATATTAAAACTAAAGCCTCTAAATAATAATAAAACATAACAATTGGGTGTTTTCTAATATCCTCGCAAACCAACTAACATAAAAACTAATGTTTCTAGTAGCTGGAGTAGGTTCAAATACAGTAAAATCTTTACCCAAATCATAAAAACCAATGCAGTGATTTTAACTTTTTCTAAGTTATACTGTTTTTGATTGTCATAGCAAAGTATCATGGAATAAACCAGGATCACAATTTATAAATGATGTTCTTTGTGACAATTAACTGGTGAAGACACAACACTGGTTAAATAAAGTTATATATATATATATATATATATATATATATATATATATATATATATATATATATGCTATAGTAGATATGTATATATATATATATCTTATACTGCTGAGTTAGGTGAGCATAATGACATCATACTAAAATAGCCTGCTGCGGGGGCTTCAGTACAGACTCGCAGTGGAGTGCTGCTACATCGACTGAGGGTTTGGTATGGGTCAGCAACCTTTTCATTCATTATTCTTCATTTTCCCTCATCGTTTTCTCAAAACGCTCACTTAATTTAGACTAGCAAAAAAAGTGAGCAATTGCGCATATAAATATGCTATAGTAGATATTAATATATATATAAAATTTTCTGCTCAAAATAGTTGCAGTATCAGTTTTAAATTAATTTGTTTTTTAAAAGGAAAAAATGTCTTGTAAAAATATTTTCTTTTCTTCATAACTTTGTTTGCTGGTAATTCAGATCTAATAGATAGTATAGGAAAATATGATCTGAAAATTTGGCAATTTTCATGAAACATGTTTAACAACATACTGACAAAATTATATCAAAATCTGATATTTTGATTTAAGTCGCGCGGGTTGTCACCACTTGGCATGGCATTTTAAATAACAAAATTTTTTGTTTTAATTTTACATATTTTGTTTAGAACTTACATAAAATGTTCGTTTTGTTTTCGTTTATCTTTTGTTAAATAAAACAAAATTTAAAGCAACAAATGTTAACATTCTCAAAAAAATTTAGGTTTACATACCATCTCGAGTAGTTATAGTGTTGGCAAAAGACGATGGAAATTAAACTTCAAGTTAATCTGTTGTGTTATCGATGTATTTTTATTTGACGTTTTGTGTTTGGAAACGTTGAGTAAATACACTCTTTTTTGTGTTGGAAACGTTGAGTAAATACTTTTATCACTATAAAATATAAAATCATAGTTGTCAGTTTTATTTAAAAATTAACTTTTTATACAGATTATATTTAAATTACTGATAATTTTTTTTCGAATCTATAGATTTTTGCAAAATGCAATTATAACTATTTTTTAAAGAATAGTTGACTTTTTTTTCTTCTTTTTTATGTATTTTTTTGATTAAACAAAATAAAAAGCACCTACTTTTATTTTCTTAGTTTTTTATAGAAACCTTTTAAAAAAGATTTTAATATATATTGCCAGTAAAATTTTTTTTTTAAATAAATGTTTTATTGAAAAGTAAAAGAAAAAAAGTGACAGTTTTAATTTAATTTACAGATTTTTTTGTTAAATAGTTCTATATATTATAATTTTAGGGGTAAACCTATCTTCTTTGGGAAAAAAATGTTAAAATGTTTTTATTTCTATTTCTTTCACATTTTTTGTATGAGAAACTACTCTATAAAAATTTTTATTTTATGTACAGAATTTATGGGGACATATATACTAGGGTGGATCATTAGTCTACTTAAAGTTTTTTATTTTAAATTTTTAATAGTGAAAACATAAAATCATCGCGTAAGATTTTTTAACTTTTGAAGTGATCTTGAGGTGTCCCAATGCCAAAATATATTAAATGGCGGCTTTTTCTACCGAAAAATTTTGCTATTAGTATGAAATATTTGGAAAATTTTGTTGTGGCTATATAAAAATTATATATGAGTAAAATATTATTAACACCATGTTTGTAAAGTCTTGAGTAACTGCTATTTTAACCTAAATTCAAAATGTCTGTGTTTTGCCATACACCGAAATATGCAATTTTTTTTTTTTGGGGGGGGGGGGATCTATTAAACAATTAAATACTTGTTAAGTTATTAAAATAACTACCTTAATTAAATTAAGGTAAGTTAATTTAATTAAGGTAGCAAGTATTAAACAAATATTAAAAATAACATTAAAAATATTTTTAAAAAGTTGAGTAAAATTCTTAGCCTGGCGTTTTCCCAAAGTTAAAATGATTTGATCAAACGTATGTTATAATTATAAAACTTTAATGTACTTACTGAAAATAAATAATAGGGGAGAGTTGGGCCATGATTTTTACATTTTTAAACACTTGAGTTTTTGCTTCTAACAATTTTTTTAATACGCTTTTTTTAGGCGATTGGTTTAACTTGTAGAATAGTTTATACCTACAAAATTAAACTTAACAAAAGTTAACAAAATAAAACAGGTTAAAATTGTATTTAAAATAAAGTTCGAAATTTGTATCAAGGTACCCTCAGGGTATATACCCATAAATTATGTCAAACAAACACTTCAAGATATATTTATAATTATATTGATGTATCTCATGCAAAACTGTTATAACAGACCCTTTGGTTGTTTTTAATATATTGCCATTATTTACGAATTCTTTGTTTGCATAAATTAAATACCAATAAATAAAAAATTGTTTGGTTTGCCACTAACAACCAATCGGATATGTTTAAAATTATCGACTTTTTTTTTTCACAAGTTTGTTTGTTCTTTGCCTTAGTTCCATTGAGTAGTAGTAAATGCTTCACCATATGAAAGAGTTTGTCGCAACTCTTAAAATTCATCAAGTATTAATTCACTATTTATGCGTTTTGACTATCTCATGTTTCTTAAACTTGATTTCTTTCTTCTTTTTTTTTAAAGAAAAGCAATTTCACAAGTCAATAACTTAACATATGTTATATAACATAATATAGAAATTTAACATAGTAATTAATTAGTTCGAATACAAACAATAGTAATTAATTTCACTTTGACAACATACACATTGTGTAGTTTTTCGGAAGGTATTTTTAAAATTGTTTTTGCTGTTAATATACAGGGTGACCAGAAAACACTGAGACAAACATTTTTAATCATTTTTTAATAAATCCAACAAAAATTAAGTAAAAAAACGATGAATATTAACAACATGGACCTTTCGCAATAATATACTTAGCCTGTTTCAAAGTGGCCTCCTCCCGCGGCGATACATAAGCCCAAACGCCTCTTGAAATTTTCAGCGATGGGCCACAGGTCTTCTGGCGACAATCGATCCCATTCCCGGCGTAGCGATTGCTTCACCGACTCCAAACTTTTTTGGCGTGTAGCACAAGCAGGTCCAAAATTGACCACACGCTGTAATCCATCGGGTTGAGATCTGGTGAGTATAGCGGCCATTTCGAAGACGCGATGAAGTCCAGAAAATGGGTCCGACACCAGTATTGAGTTGTTTTCGGCGATTTTTCGCATGGAGACCCTCAAATTTTGCTTGACTTGCTTCCTGATGATCTGGCGGTTGGAGGACTTGTTGACGGTGCGTCTTCTACTACTTCCTGGACGGCGACCATCGAGCTCCTTGAAATGATTGACGTTTGCTTAGGCTCATTTGGCATTCGAACAATATCACATTGACGCATTCCTTTACGTAAACAACTCTAAAATTGCACTACGTTTATTTGACATTCTAAAAATATAATACAATTTAGAGATATCAAACTAAGAACATATATATACTAAACATAAAAACATGATGAATCCGAAAACCAATAAGATTAATTGGATACCGTAATACTTATCAGGACATATTAAATTTTGTCTCCGTTTTTTCTTGTCACCCTGTAATTGAATAGAAGTTTTGAATTGTAGGTGGATTTTCAAGGTTCTTTTCTAATATAGGGGAAAAGTGGGACGCGGGAGAAGTGGAAATTCCTAATTAGTAGTGGTACCTAAATACTGTTATTTAATGTAAGCAATTAAATTTATTTTTCTCTATTTAGCAGAAATTGCTTAGTTTCCCTGCGTGCGCTAGAAGCCCTAATTTTGAAATGTACCTTAAAAAAGTGTTTACGTTGGGGTGAAGTGGGGCAGAAAAAAGAAATATTTATGCCCCGCTTCTTCCCGTTGGCATTTCATTATTGCAGTTGGTGAAAGCTCTTGAACATTTTTATGTCGATTTGGTGATTTTATGATTTTATCGGTTTCTATTTAATAGTTTGTATTAAATTATTGTTTTTAATTTATTTGTCCCACTTCTACTTACACTTATCCCACTTTACCCCAACGGTTTCTCTAAAAGCAAAAATTTATTTAACTTAGTTATAATTGGCTGGAAACCTAAGGGGATTGAATTGGTGCCTAAAAAAGGTTTATTCGTAAAAACGTTTTTGGTTCAGTTTGTATATCAAATAAAAAAGATTAATTACTCTTAAAAAAATTTACGTGTCCCACTTCTCCCCACTCTCCCCTACGCTAATTTTTTAATTTCTCGTGTGATCCAGTGAGATCTATTAGCATTATGAATTCTAGTTCGTTGTGGTATAAAATCTTCTATGATACTTGAGTAAATTAATAAAAATTTGTTATAGATTTTATCTGAAGTTAAGTTCTTAAAATGCATTATCCAGTTCATTCTTTCAACAACTCTACTTATTTCAGAATAGTTTCCATTATGATATTTATTTGAAGTTGATAGTCAAAATATTTATTTGATGCAATATTTTTTCTTTTAGTCGATACACTGTCGATGGTTAAATTCAATATTAATACAGAATTTCCTTGTTTGGTGTTGCCAAGAGGAGGTAAATGTATTTCAATAAACATAATTCACATACGTTATTATGTTTATTGATGAATATTAAGTCTAAAATACTTATAGGCGTAATAGTATCGTTAAAGAACATTACATCATTAACCTGTTGATTCAATGAAGATTATTTAAAGTATGAGAAAATTCTTTGTCGGGTTCATTATCGCTTGTTCTAATGTCTTCAATTAAATCGTTTGACCATGTTATTTTAGGGTAATTAAAACCTTCTATCAATAAAAAACTTGTATATACTGTATTACTAATTTTAATTTTTGCATTTTTTTTATTTCATCATTTAATTGTTTATTTAAAATCAAATTTCCTGGGCAGTATATGCATCCTACTAATATTTTCTCTTCATACTTTATTATAATTACCCATATTATCTCAAGATTTTGTTCAATATTTGGAAAAATCATTTTGTATTGCACAAATCTTTCTTTATGTAGATAGCTACACCACCTACCGTCACTTCTATCTTTTCGGTATAATAAATAGCCGTCTAAAATTGATACCGAGTTACTAGAACACCAAGTTTCTGTCACTGCAATGATATCTATTAGATGTACTCTTATAAAAGCTTCAAGTTCCAGCAGCTTGTTTTCCAAAGATGTGGCCTTAGTGTACCAACATTTCAATTCATTAATTTTGTTGTTGCTGCAAGACTTTAAGTTTGAAAGTGAGGAATTATTTTATTTATTCCGTTTAGATCGCAGTCGGAAATAATCATTTTGCTTCAGTTTGATTAGGACTGATGAACACGTTTCCAAATTTATGGTTCCCTTTTAAATTTTTTGCTGCAGCTAATATTGGATTTTGATCAGCCTGGTAGTTCTATGACAATTGGACCTGGTTTATTTGTTCGAAACTTCAACCTTTTAAATTAAGCATTTTTTATGAAAAATTTCAGTAATTTGCTGAATGTCATCATTTGCTATATCAATTATAGTTTTTTAATTTTTACGCAACTCCGAAAATAATTTTTTTCCCCCTCTTCTTTTTTTTGTTGTTGTTCAATAGCTATTGTATTGATAACTATTAATTGATCAATTGGTTTTTTCGAGTTTTTGCTGGCAAACGTTATCCAACTTTGAACCTTATTTAATTCTGAATTGTATGCTTCCTTGTTGCGAACTTGCAGTTTTAACTCATTTATTTCGTCTTGCTTAAGTTTGAGAACTTTTTTAACTCTGAAAACTTACCATTCCATTTTTTTATTTCGATATAAAGCTTTTGCTATATACAAGCATAAAATCCTGCTTGCTGTTGTTATCCGTCTCGAGACAGTTACTAGGGTTTCTATTTCGGATATTCGAATATCTGATTATCCGGATAATCTGTTTTATTTTGACTTTTCTACTCTCTTTAACAATTGTTTTTTGTTACACTTGGTAGCTTGTTGTTACACTTAGTAGTTGTTTAAGCACAATGATTTGTGCCTGTTTATTATATTAATGTAATATTAAGTAAGCGTGTATTACTTTTT